GCCTCCCGCACAGCCAGGCCAAGAGACATTGGTGCCAGCCCACCTCCGCCATGGGCCCGAGGGCCATGAGGGGTCACGTTGCTGCCGATGGAACCCATGACTGTGCGGAGCTCAGACAGGAAGGTGGGATGGAGCTGAGACAGAGCAGGCGACTCGTGGTTCTCACCTTTAACCCTGGCACAGTGTAGCTGTGAACCGGCCAGCACAGTTGAGTTGCCAACAGACTGTGAAGTCATGAGGTCTCCCTCTTTTTCAGAGCCAGACGACAATTCGTAAGGTGCTTCGAGTGGGTCAAGGTGCATGTGCTTTTCGCCTATGAAAAGAAGAAATATCGGTTGAAGCAAAGCGTGCCCCAAATTGTTAAAAAAAAGATATTTGACCAGCTGTCTTGGCACAACTGAATCCCAGTGTCTCCATTTGGCACAAGGATGTAAAACTGCTTAGCTCTTATGAAGCTAAAAATATATGTCACTTGTACTGTATAACATAACAAAGATATCAAACAGAATAAGAATAGGCTTACTAATATATTTCTACTTCTACTTCACTCAAAAAAAACTCACCCAAAAACTTCTGTGGCGTTGACCTCTTACGTTTCGTGATGCTTATAGCCAGTCGATCCACAAACTGGATTTTGTCATTGGTTGGCTGGAGTTCAGGTTTAATAGCTGTCCCCATATTTACTGACTCTTCACCTACGAACAGAAAACATCAGTCAAACATTAATCTATTGCCAAATTATGTGTAAGCTAGCATTTACAATATGCATGAAGTCAGAAATGAGTTAGTTTTATGTAACAATAGTGAGTTTTATGTTATATGCCATGTATTACCCTTTGCTGTCTGTGTGTTGACAACCGCCTTTTGGTCCAGACTCTTTTGATAAGTATGGCAGCGCTCCAGATGTTCCTCCAGTGTGCTTTGTTGCTTGTAGCTGCGGCTACAGTAGCTGCACTTGAAAGGTTTTCCCACCGTCGGAGAAGGAACTGTAATTCAAAGAAAAAAACATTATATTGATTTCATCTAGAATAGCTAATAAGTTGCCATAGCTGGTGGAACTTGTTGAATAAATATAGGACTAATTGTTGTTTATTTATTTATAGTTGGGGGAATTTTTTTGAATGAAAAAAAGGTTTGGATTTCCCCCCTGACTAGCAATTCCTGAAACTGACCTATGTTACTTGACAGAAAAAAACGCCTAAACCTTTACCGCAAGGTTCCACCCTAGTAAGCTGTCGGAAAGACTGACGTCAATTCACTGAAATCCAGTTTGTAATCATCTTTTCTTTGAAAATGAACCTTTTGAGACCTGAGGAGAGCGACCAAGACCTACTGTAACAAGACTGTATTTGAACACCTGTGAATATCTGTTCAAGAGCACCAGCAGGATTTCCTGTTTTGATACTGTTAAATGTCATATTCTGTCATGTGTTTTACAGAAAACTCTCATAAAGACCTATTTCCTCTGAGATAGAAAGAAGGGGGAAATGGACCTTTCTAATAGAGCTCCACTTTTACTGCTTACCTCTGTGTCACACATTGCACGTGTTCACGCTATGGAATCGTATTACTTTGCAGCAACAATAACTAAACAAGTACATTTGTGAAAAAATCTCTCCATGGACTGTATATGATGTGTTAGGTGCTGTTGTATGGCTATAAAAGCCCAGAGCTCTCAGCTGATTCTGGCTGTTCTCCATGCTATCCACCAGAGTTGTCTGGCCAGATTATGTATGTAGATTCCAAACTGTCCATATGTGATGTGAGTGTAGCACTTGACAATCTGGCTCAAGTGTTAAAGAAGAATAATTTTGCTGTTTGGGAGGTCACTCATTTACCTGCATGTGTGCGCAGATGTCCAGCCAGTGCATCTCTCCGACGGCAAGCGTAATTGCAAACGGGACATTTGAAAGGCTTCTCTCCTGAATGCAATTTAATGTGGCGCAACAGGTTTCCCTTCTGGGTGAAGGAAGCTCCACACTGGTTACACTGGAATGGTCGCTCCCCTGTGAACACATGGATGGAAAGAGGATGTGAGATGCAAATCCCACTGGGCATTGCACTCAACTGATACTTGTCTTTCATTTATTTAAAAACTGCCTTGCTGGGGGGGGGTCCTTCTTTTTTTTCTTACCTGTGTGGCTACGCTTGTGCACCATCAGCACGTTAGGTCCAATGCAGATCATCCCGCACACCTCACACTGGAGCTTCCCATTGGGCAACCTGATAGGTCCTGGTGAAGCCGAATTTGGACTGGCCATCTCACTGTATATGCTTGCTAGGTCTCTTCCAGCCCCAGCGAACTCTGCACTGGCTTCTTCCATGGGGTCTCCCTGGTCATTATTCCCGCCGTCGATCCTCACAGCCTCTTTCTTCTCTGGCTGTGGAGCGCCATCACTGCACAACTCAACCTTGATGGAGTTTGCTTTGTAAAGAGAGAAGGAGAGGAAGAGATATATATTTACTTACTTATGTAACATGAAAAAGGTATTCTATACAACCGTATGGCTGCAATGTAACAAAGGAATGATAACTAACCACTAAGGGAGCGGTGTGGTGAGGACTGCTGACTGTTTGGAGATCTCGCAGAAGGGCCCTGCAGCCCGCCATAAAAATCCTGTTCTGTTGATGATTCTCCTCCATTACCTGAAATACAAATATGCCCACGTTATTAAAGTAAACATGAAAGTCTGTAGACAGCACACACCAGCGTACAGTAGTTTTTCCTTTATATCTACAATTACCTTGTGTGTATGAGCGTCCATTGCAGTCATCAGCATTCATTCTCTCACCAGATGCCTACAGAAATACAGTTTAAAGGCAGACTGTAAATACTATGGTTTGCCATTCATAGTTATACTTTCTGAATCAAACAGACTGAAATTGCACTCCTGTAAAAATTCTGTATCACACCTTGGATAATTATATAAAATGTATTTTTACACAACAGCCTGTTGCTTCAAGAATATGGTTCAAAAATAAATAAATAAATGTATGCTTTCTCTAATAAGTTCACTTAAAAAAATGACAAAGTATTATAGTAAACTTCAGGTCTCCCCTACGATGTCTGTATCCTTTCGATTCTTCTCCGCCAAGCAAATGACTATGAGAGGCTCCACATTTATGGCCAAGAGAGCTGAAGGAGGAGTTAAAGCTCGCAGAAGTAGAGAGGATAGCTGCCGAGGCTTTAACTATGAGGCATTCCAGTGTGCAACCACAACAAGACTATGTGCCTGATTTGATACTAACAGTGCACTGTATGTATATTAGATTACATTACAATGTTGAAGTTATACTGCATTATGCTGTATTACATTACATTATGTATGAGATACAACATAGTTACAATATTATTTTTTATTGATGGATCAAGTTTGTCAATTTGCACTTATTGTTTTTATTATTATGATGATGATGATGATGATGATGATGATGATGATGATGATGATGATGATGCAGTAGGCTGAATCTATGCCAGGCCTCCATAAAACGATTGTTACACAGCAAATAAAGTGAGGTATGCAGACTACACCAAGACCAGACTACACAGGCGTTGCTGAGTTACAGCGTCTTCAGACATACAGTAGCCTGTGCTCACTGTCATTGACCAGAATAGGCGATGCTGTAACGATGAACACAATTTCAAAGACGAGATAAGCAAAAGCACAAGACGTTCAAGGCTGCACCTTTTGCTCAAATGGATGACAGCAGTGGACAGAGGAGACTTTGGAGTGATCGTGGAGGGAGGGGGGCGGAGACAACACATCACAGGGAAAAAAAATTAATATCCTGTCATTGGCCGCGCATGGGGAGCAACAGGCGCTGATGCAGCCGGGAGACGCGCCAGTCACACCAGGGCACGGCGATTAAAAAAAACAAAAAAGAAATAAAAGAAAAAGAATAATAGAAAAAAATAAGGGACGCGCACCATTGCCGCCCCTTGCTTGACAAACCTTGCTGCCCCAACCCGAGCGACTATGTGCAATAAAAGATATTCCTGCATTTACAAATAACTGCCATGGCTCTCCACACGCAGGGTAGCTACTTGTTTTAGCTGCTCGCTGGATTTGCTTAGTTCTGACAACAATCGGCTCGCGGACGGTCGAGACAACAACGAGACACAACGGCAATTTGTTGCAAGAGTTGCGATTGTCCACATCCTCCGCATGAACGCGGCTGTCATCCAACACTGAGCACGTCAAAACTGGCCTGGGCTATACAATGTTTCTCATGAGCCGTTGCTATGGCACCCGACCACACGACAAATGGCATTCACCCTACCAACTACTAAAAAACATGCCGTACCTCCAAATTAACACCGACGGATGGTCTTACCAAGAGCCGCAGCGGAGTCCACGAGCCTCTTCCTTACCTGGCGACCGATCGGTGTTTTCCTTTAATTGTCTGAATAGCTGTTTGTTTTCCCAGGCGGCGACAGCATCTCCGGGATTTTTTTCCTTTTTTTTTCTTTCTTTCTTTTTTTTTTTTACCTGGGAATCGGAATCCCAAACAACTTCCGGGCCCATGCTGGGATACAGACCAAATAATTGTACAACAGAGCTCCTGAGTCGGTGATTGCCGAATTCATCGATGCGTGTCTTCTTTGCGGAGTTGTGGTCATAATGAGGGTGAAATGTGTGCTTTTAGATCATGTCGGACTCTGCACCGCAAATTGCTGCTGCGCATGAATATATTTTGTGAAATACTTGATGCAATACGCTGAGTGACCCTCAAATGTTTAATAAAAAACAAAAAATGGCATATGTAAATATACAGTGCGCCTGTATAAACACTACATGTACACGCGTCTTACAGAAAGCAAGCAGATATTAAAATAAAAGCAGGTGAAAATTGTTATCATGAGGTGGTTTACAATTACACTTCATCTTTAGCCCCAGGAGGTGGCAGCAAACTGCTGCATGGTCCAGAATTGAATAATGGACTGGACAGCTGTGAAACACACAGTCGATAAGTGTTATAAACCACAAAGTACAAGTGTCTGTGCGTGCCCTTGATTTATTTTTTCATGAACAATAAAAAATAATGACAACGCAAGCAAGCCCCCAATGAATAAAAGGCAACTAATTGAATCGATTGGGCCTGTGCCAACGTAGAAGGACCTCATAAGCCTCCTGGAGCTTCACAAATATTTCCTCAGCATCCTTGCTGGGGTTGTGGTCCGGATGCCACTTCTTGGCCAGCTCCCTATAACTTCGGGATATCTCCTCAAGAGAGGCCTCTGCTCCCAGAGACAATATCTGCAACATAAATACAATAAATCCAGATGAAACGGGCTAAATGGCAAGCAGAAAATGTAGACCTATTTACAGCATGCATTTCTTACCTTCAGTGCCTCTTTCTCTCTCTCAGTGTATTCTTTGAGCAGTATTTCTAGCACCTTCCTCCAGGCATCTTCATAGTACCCTCCTCCAGTAAGCACACACAATATCCGATATGGCATTAAAAGAAGGTACTCCAACACACTTCTGAGCCAAGGCAGGAACCATAAAATATCCAGCAGTGCTGCTATAGAGTCAGACAGATAGTACAGGGTGGCTGTGGTGTTGTGGAAAATACAGTAAGCCAGCGGGGCAGAGAAGGCCAGCCAACCTAGACCGATCCTATAAAGCCGTGGACCTGAGGTTGGAACAAAAAATATTTAACTTCAGGAAGCCACTTAAAACTGAATCAGAATGATTATTATCGACGTGCATAGTAAAATCATCCAATCATCTCAGATTGGTGAAACCAGCCCACCTAATTTCTGTTTGCTCCCAGGTGTCCGTGGAGGTTTGAACGTGCGGTGCTTTGCAGCAGTGACACTGGCAGCCAAGCTTATAGGAAGAGGAGATAATGTGCTGCCATAGAATAGCAGGGAGGTTGCGAGACAAGAAGTCAAAGTCTTTTGGAGATCGGATGTCTGCTGGCCAACATTGGACACCAGATGCACCCCTGCACCCACACATAAAGGCAACACAATCAAGTAGAAGAAACTGAGGGAGTTCAGTCCTATCATGGCCACAGTGCCAAAGTAGACTCCAACACACACCTGTCCTGCAAATCTGACAGGACTCACAGGAGGAGGGATTGAAGTGGGAGGCCTTTTTCTCTCTTTATTTCCTTCTTGATTGGCCTCACTAACATAAGCAGGGATGCGTATAAATTCCCTGACCCACCCAAATCCAAATCCTCCTAGTGTTAGCATCCATAGCAGAGCATGGGTGTCTCTACCTAAGTACAAATGGTGAAGGCCCAAAGGCCCACCTACTGCCCACAGGGTGTAGGCAACAATTATACTTTTTACCATGAGGCCTCAGAAGATTACCTCCTGTACAGGTGAATATTAGTCATCCTTGATACATACCTGCAATAGAGTAACAAAAAGTGTTAGTTATACCTCCAAACCTCCATCAGTGTTTTATAATTATATTATACTTTAATCAAATAATTAAAATGGAAATGTTCAGCTTATGATTTATTGGCTTTGATCTTTAATCCCATGCGCTTACATCGCCTGCTAACATTTTATTTATTTATTTAGTTTCATAACTATACTGTGTTACACCCTCCTCTGTGATCTGTCTGTTGGTCTTTGCCAGGACACTCAGATTTTTAATCTCTGCCATCCACTTCCCTGGTTAAATAATATATTATATAAGGGTGATTTATCTTAGCTCATGCTGTGTATTGTTAGTTTTACTCAACTCATTATGTGATCCAAAACATACCATTTTTGACAAAGAGTGCAACTATCTTTTCTGATCAATCGAAGATATTTGCTGTTCTTATACATCCAAATTGTATTTTAAAAAAGAGTTTGTTACTTACTGAGCCCATAATTTCAAATCCTTATCCAGAGAAATCCTTTTCCAGTGCTTTCCGTAGTTGAAGTTGCTGCATGTTGTTGCAATAGTTGGACTTTGGATCATGACAATGGGATTGCGCAGCGGCCTGAGTGCACAAAGCACATCAACACGAGCCTGTAATCATTTAAACTGATAAGACAAGTAAAAAGGCTAAAGGCGACATTTATGAAGAAAAAAGGACACTGTTGACAATGCTTCAAAGAGGGCTTAAGTTTATTTTGTAAGGAAAATAAGGACATAGCCTTAGGCCTGTATGCTAAACTTCAGCATAGGATAAGAGTATAATCCTGCTCCCCAGTGAAGCCTAAAACAACTTCACTTTTTCTGTACAATTTTACTTAAAGGTGTATAATACAAGCTTAAAGTATAAAACTCAAGTTATATCGTATTTTTTTAAATCAAAGCAAAGCACTTTTATTTTGTAAAGTGATATTCATTATCATATAAGCTAAAATATGAGATAAATATTATTAATACATCAGTAATACTTAGCATTATGCCTGATTATGAGGCTAACTGTATGTGATATAAGTAGTATCCTTGTGTGCGGGAATATATTTGTTAATAATAATAATTTAGTCCAGACAGAAATAAAGGTTTAAAACTTATTAAACTTTTGCCTATGATGGTATTGTTTAGCCTTCCATCAAAGAATTATCACCAGAACTATAATAGGGGAACAACTTGCTTGATGTTCAATTTCCTCAAGAATAAAAACATTTTGTTTTGGAAAATGGCCAAAAATATAAAAAACAAAATACACATACTTCAGTGATGTAACCTAACAAAGGCTCCTTACCTTAACTATATACTGACCAGGGGTATTTATGTGTGCAGAACCCCAGTGACCACTTATGAGCCAAGAAAAACCCCAATTGACCCTGATATTAATACCCCAATAGTCAGAAAATGTTTGATAATATATTAGGCACACCAATCTAAAACAACCATGTGCATCTGAAATAAACCTAGTTTTCATTAAGGTCATATTCCGTTTCGTTAAAGGTGTCTAGGAGAGGAGAGGAGATGATTCTCATTTAATTTTTTAATTTTTGTACGTTCTGTGCACCCCATTTATATCAGTGAGGGTAAGTTAATGCGACCAGCATCTCTCTAAATTAGTTTTAGCCAAGTGTAGCTACCTGTTCAGTCAGTGGGTGTGGACCACACGCATACCTGGAAAGTAGGCTGGGTCCACATTAATATTTCAAATCGCTGGACTGCCAAAACAATCAGCTCCCGTGGCCCCGCCCCCTGCGACCCCTCCTTTGCTGGGCTTTCGTCGGAGCTGAGCAGCCTTGCAGCAGCAGGTTAGCTCTTTAAAACCGAGCGAGCTCTGCTAGCTACACATCAACAGCATATCCAGAGAAGATGCGAAGTCGCTCAACTTTTTAACTATTCCACCCGCCTCCAGCGCTTTTAAGCCTGAGGACACTGTTATGGTTTCGGAGAATGGAAACGGACGACGTGTCGGTTAGAGAGCAACTTTTCCACAACCGTGTCCGGGAGACTATAGTAAGTAACGCCGAACCAACCCAACCGTCAGTGACTATGCTTATGAGCCCCCCGCAAACGTCGCATCACTGTAAGAAAGTCGCCTCAGTTCACGCTGTTTATTTCACTTTACCTAGCGGTAGCACGACTTTTGTTTCTCAGCTGTAGACTGCACGTCTTACTTTCTCAAGCGATAACAAGTTTGAAGTCACTTAAAAAAAGTGATGATAACGATTGAAATGTGCTCGCTCCCTGGGCTAGCTTAACCCATGTTCAAACTTTAACTGTTGCACGGATACAGCTGGTGAGCAGGCAGCAGAGAGGCACAGCATTTTGTTACTGTTGATGCTCTTTTTTTCCCCTCTGCTGTTTTATCGCAGTTTTGTATAATAGCAACAGCAACTATTTGAACCTTAGACTCGGTTCAGTTACAGCAAAGCACACGGCTCCTGACCTTTAACCCTCACATCACATCAGACGGGAGCCCGACTACTGAGATTGGAGATTGCTGAACCAGCCTATCATAAAAGCATCGTCAGGCAACACTTTATCACCTTCGTATCTTAGCATCAGGAGTCGATTCATCAACTTGGTTTGCTTTGCTCAGCTCCAGGTAGTTCGTTCTGGTTTGCAGAAGATCATGAGGTGAAAAAAATGTGAGGTTTTAAGGAACAACGTGTGTGTGTGTGTGTGTGTGTATAGATGAGTTGTATAATATGAAAAATAGTGATTCCTGTGGGAGATTGAGTCACTGCAGCAGCAAAGAAATCAGAACAGGGCTTACTGAATCCAAAAGAACATACATTAAGATTGTGATCAGTTAGACTGCTTTTATTTGTATGACGAGTCAAATTCTTGCTTTTAACTGTGAAACCTCTAAAGAATGTAGGTTTTTTTTTTCCCAACAGACTAGGAAAGACTAGGAAGTGGTAGGCTGAGATATTTGCACATTAGGGCTGTTGGTGGCTTTTTTGTCTGCCCACATTAGGTATCAGAAGCAAGATTACATCCTCTGGAAAATATCACTTAAAATAGTATTCTACATTTGGTAGGTGGTATATATTTTCAGTGATAGATAGGATGCAGTTATTAATAAATCAAAACCAAATGAACAGCAAATAAAGTGCTTGCATTTCTTCTAATGCCCTTGTTTTGTCATTGTCCCTTTCAAATACCTAATGCTATTAGCAAGTGGCAAGTCTCAAGTCTCCAGCTTACCTCCTCATCACAGTACTTCCTCTCAGGCTTGTCAGCTGCCCCAGCACCTCTGGTTATTAATGGCTTTAGGCCAAGCCTATCTTTAATCAGCTTATTTTAAAGTCATAAACCTGTGGCAGAAGTGCATGTATGCTAGACCGAGAATAATATTTTGCACTAACAAAAAAGGCTGGATGAGACATTTTTTTTTAAAAGTAGAAGAGCAACTCTTTGATATCCAAAAATAATTAAATAAAAATAATTCCTTCCATCCATCTTTTTCCACTTATCCAAGTCGGGGTTTCAGTTGAGCTGAAGCCCATCCCAGCTGTCATATGGTGAGAGGTAGAGCTAACTATTTACACTCATGGCCAGTTTACAGTCACCATTCAACCTAACAGGTATGTCTCTGGACTGTGGAGGGAAACGCACACAGGTAGAACAGAGTCCACAGCCAATGGATTCGAACCCAGCACCATCTTGCTTTGAGATGATGATGCCAACCATCGCACCACCATGCTGCCATTTTACTGCATTGTATTTGTTTTAGTTATCAGTTAATCTGATGATTATTTTTTTACAGCTGTTTAGCCTATAATGAAATATTCCAAAAGGTCTTTGAGAAGCTAAACTGACTTATATTTGCTTTAAAATAACTGAATGGCTATCAGAACAGCTGCTGACTGAGTTTCTGTGGATAAACTAATGGTTTACTTGGGTAATTATTGTAACTCTTATTCATAAATAATATAATAATAGATATGCGTCAATTGTGAGATGCCAAAAACTAAACAAAAGAAAACAGTGTTTTAAATTCTTTCAGTCTTTTACAGTTCTGTATTTGAAGCTAGTGTAAAACTGATGTTAGACTACAAACATCAGCCACTGATATTTCTAAATGTCTGTTTATTTACCAACAGGCCAGAGGCAGTCAACGAGGCGTGTATCATCCAATAGAGATGTTTTTATAACAACATGTCCTTAGCCGACGCATATAAATGCTGGTTTAGCTACTGAGAATGCTCTCGTATTAGATATCCAAAGCATGCAAGCAGCTGTTCCATTAGTGCTTCTTTTTTGATTCTGAGGAAATGTGATGGAAAAATAATGCACGTATCAATGCACAGGGTAGATACATTTTTCCATAGGTGCATGACAAAGATATGCTATAAAGGCTATTTCTATATGCAACAAACATGCTTGCAGCTATTTGCCTGTCATGAGAACAGATGAGAGTAGTTTAATAATAATAATCAGTTAGATATCTTGTTGGAGTGAAGACAAGTGGTAAAATTCTGTGCTTGACTAAAAGGGGGGGGGACGGTATTTATGTGAAGTATGACACTTTCTGGCTTCTGGTCAGAAGCCTCCCAGTTGGACCAGTTGGTACCGGATTCCTAAAAGTCGACAGTAATTCCAAACAAATTCTAATTCGATGAAATGTACTATACCTGTTTGGCCAAAGGCATAATAAACAGTTAATGATCAGTGGGAAAGTGCGATTACAGCCAAGTGCATGTCTTCACTTGAGCTGATTGTGTTCTTGTAAATCATCTTGGGTATCAGCAGATAGTAGAAAATTGAAGCACAGAGAGCGTAGCTCGGCTGTGGGGGTAAACAGCCGAGCTAGGAGTGCTCATCCACAGCCTGAGCCTGGTCGGATCAAGAAGGATCAGTGTCTAGCACGATAAAAGGTCATGATGATAAAATCTTGCAGTAGAGAACTGGAACAGCCAGCATCAGCACACACTGATATCTATTCCCCGCTTAGAAAAGAGCACTGTAATATTTGTATAATACCTGAGTCTCAGGCGCTCTGACTGAAAACTATAATAGCTCAGAACTGATGGGTTTGAGTCTTAGGAGTGACTTTCTGCAGTACTTTTGAGAGAAGGAAAACAGAGGACAATGTGTTGGATGGATCATCCCCCCCCCCCCCCCCCCCCCCCTTTAATTTTTTATTTATTTATTTATTTTAGTTTATTTGTTATTGAGAGACTCTATTGAAACGCTTAAGTATTAATTAATAATTATTGCAGACCATTAAATTGTGCTTAAGGTGTCTACTTTAAAAGCGAGTCCAGTTTTGGAAGAGATGCTTTGTCTTCGTTCTTCAAGGATTCAAGGAAACTTTATTGTCATTCACATCACATGTTTAAATGAGGTGAAACAAAATTACATTTCTGCTCTGTTCTTCTGCTCCTTTGTAAATTTTCACACAAACTGCACGGCTGGGCGAGATGAGAACATTTGCACTTCAGCTGTTTTTTGTTTTCTTCGGCAGAACAATTTTTGAATTACTCTGTGGATTGTGAAATAGTCTGCACTGACACTTTGTGTCACGCTAGAGCCTGAAATTCTCTAAACTCTCCCCTCAGCAGCCCTCTGTGGCCTGCCAGCTCTCAGTGTGGCC